TATATACCTTTGTTTTTGCTGCAGTAATAATGGAAATATAATTATTTATTCTTCACTAGATCGATCCAGTTTTGAATCTTGGCTGAAGTACTTGTGGCAATAAAAGTTCTAGTGCCATCGACTTAGCCTGGTGAGTGTTCTAAATGTATTTTTAGATTTACATTATTTTTTATTTAATGTTTATATTGATAGAAAGAGTACTAGAATTCTTTCAGTGGAAAGTTAACAAGCTTGTCATATAGGACTAGTGATTAAACTGGCTTGAATTTGTGTCATGTACTCAAAAGCTGAGTTACTCCAAAGCTTTCCCTGAACTTATTGTGTTAGCTTTACTACTTCATTTTGTATCGTCACTCAAAATAATAAAGTTATTCTAAGTACTACCGTAACTTAAATATCTAAAGTAAACTCTACTTTAGTTTTTCTAATACAACAAGCTTGCGTGTTTATTCATTTATTGCAATACTCACACCTAATTCGATTTTACAGTGTAATATCTTAGCAATACAATTAAACCCTTCAAACTGTGGCAAAACTGCAACAAAAAGACTTAAAATTGTCTTTAGCACTATTAGAAAATGTAAATGCTAATGCTATAGGATATATGCTAATATAAAACCAGGTAGTCACACCAACAGTGACCATAGTGAGGATGTTAGCACGTAGCAATGAGCATTCAATTCAAAGCGGTGGATTACTACAGTGGCCAACCCGTGGTCATTAGGTGAGTCTGCAGTGACATAGAACAGCATTCATTCCTGTGTGCTAACAGAGCAGCAGTGTATTCTTAGGGTCTGTAACCTAAATATATCATCACTGATATGCAGCGCGCAAGTGAAGACTTCTTGAATTAGGACAGAGCAACATCAACAAACTGCAGCTGGCTCAGTTTCTCTTCATCTGCGCTGTTCTTACAGTTAAATAAATCACACCTGAACACGGATCTTCTGTTTCCGTCTGTATTTTGACATGTGCACCTGGGCCATGCATCTAGAAATTGAAATTATGTTGTTATGTACAGAGAGATCTTGAATCTCTGCAAGTGTGATCATCTTTGCCTCTTTTGCTTCTTCTTTCTGTCTCACTCCTCCTAAAGCATTTTTTAAATCTATTCAAGGCCTTTGATGGTTCACAATCAGAATTTGATTAACTTCAGCAGAGACAGCAGCGAGCTCATGAATAATGAACAGAGATGATATTACAGGAGGTGGGGGAGGCAGAGAGGGAGGGGGCTGCACTGTTTTCTGTACTGTCAACACAAGAGACAACCTTTTGTTATTAACTATGTCAGCTAGATTTTACTTCTTAACTCACAGGAAGAAAACAAAATGCCAGTTCTGTGTTTCTAGGAATGATAGACTGGCTTTAGTGGTCACTGTTTTCACTGATACATTTTTACATCAAAGAATGCTTTAAAGGTTTCCTCTCATCTCCTCACAACTATCTTCTACTTGATGAAAATTTAATATCCTCCTTTGTAATGAGCAAGCAGTTCATTTATATTAAATATATGGTTAGACTGTGCTTAAGTATTGATGCTTGTAGAGAATTACAGGGTCAGTCCTGCACATTTGATTAGATGTCTTTATCATTTTTAGCTTTTATCACTGTCTCCTTTTGATTTTTTTGTTTCTTTTGTGTGTGATTTGGACCACTTCAGAAGTCAGAACAGCAATAATGGCCATGACACCATGTAGCAAACATCTCATGGAGGCAGCCAAGCTACTTTAGTGAAAAGTTCCCGCAAGTGGGATCAATAATTAAGTTCCTACTCTGCAGCCTGACTCAGGCAAAACTGAACGCGCAGACATACTGGAGATTTTACTTCACTTTTACTTCCAGTGTCTGATAATAAAAATAAAAAAAACTAAAAAAAATACAGATCCAAAAATCCACAAATCTCCTTTAAACTGACTGCATTTTTTTTCTTTTGATGATTTGGGGTTTCTGCTTTGGGAAATATCTAATTCTGCAGCTGCTAAATACTCAACGTTCACCTGCAAGCTCATCTATTAGTGCTGATGGTGGAACACAGTGGGTTTTAGAGGGGCTTATTTTTTGTTTAAATTGACTTGGAAAAACACTGTAAAACAAAACATGTAACTAAACTGATATGTGATGATATGTGATGACTATTGTTAGGTTCATTAGCATACAAAGATTGATACTTGATCTGAGGCCTGTACCACAAACCAGGATTTTGTTTTATCCAGAAAATTTCAGGGCTCTTACCAGGTTACACTGCCATGATAACTTATATTATAATTACTATTATTATTGCTAGAGCTTAGCTATCACCAAGTATGACATCACCCCTTACTTCAGAAAATAGTGTCAGATCCTTCAGACCTTTGTGCATGGATAGTTACTGGATTATTGTTAATTATTAGCTATTATATCAATTGAACATTAACTAAGCCTATATTTGAATTGTGTTATTTATTAATTGTTAGTTCTTACTCGCTCCCAGTTAAACACGACCTGGGCTCCAGCTGGAAGGAAAACAAAACAAAACTGTCTTATGCAAATTTAAGAATGAATTTAATGGCGTACTTGAGTTTTCCCTGTCATAATAATTGGAATGTTGATAAGTTTGTTTACTCACAAAATTAGGATTTTTGCCAGCTTTTCTTCCTGCCATCAAACAGGCCGAATTTTTATTAATATAATAGTTCTTTTGCTGTTTTACTGACCAAAACTTTTAAAGCATAACCATGCGTTTATACAGTTCTTTTAACACTTAGCTACTATATAGTGTTTTTGTGCTCACACGTAGATTTATCTGAAGCAGCTGTGTTACTTTCATACCTAAGATCAGAAAGCCCTGGGTTGGCAAAGTAAGTTGATGACCAGCTTAGTGTGACTGCGTATCTTGATCTACCGTGTAGCGGTAAGTGATTCCAAATAATGGAAAGATATCCCGGGTATGTAGAACTTGCTATGTGTGCAGGATCCTGGAGCTTGACGTTTGTTTCCAAATATTTGACTCAGTTTAGAACTTGCTGTTTGAGCAGCTTACAGCATGTTACATGAATGTTTGCCTTTTATTGGTAATTAGAAGGATCTGTTCAGATCATTTGTTATCCCCAACACGCACAATGTCAAAATCCAAAAACAAAAGCGACTTGGCACGAAAGAAAATGTGTTCATGAATTTAAGATTAATTTGCTAAAAACTGCATCCAAGTGATATGTTTCTGAATAATTAAACTGACGATCGAAACTGCAGCTTTCAAACAATGAAAAGCTCGTGCTTTATTGCATCTCCCTTTGCTGCTCTTGTTACAATCACTGCATATGTATTCCTGCTAAAACATTTACACTAAGATATCAAAATATACATTATTACCATGTGCACTAATGTCAGCAATTATATGGTAAATAGAAGGTTCCTAGTTTTCTTCATTGACTTCTTCATTAAGTCAGGCCTTCCTGTGCATGCCTATTACCTAATTGTTGAATTTAAATTTAGTGTAGGTGTGGATATGATTACCTCATTAGACCTGTGTGGTAGCCTGGTGACCTGGTCAGGGGTACCCAGTCTCTTGGTGGCAGTTAGGATAGGCTCCAGTCTCCACACAACCCCCAGCTGCCTAACTGGTTTAGAAAATGGATTGTTGCTAAAATTATGCTAATCAAAGTCTGTTTTTTAAATACTAGCTCTGCTGAAGTGGCAACCTCCAGAGATGAAAAATAGTGTACACAAGCCAAAACCACAAATAGCTGTTCAGTTCCTTCAGGGGTTGCATTTTTAAAATATCCCACTTTAAAAACTGAAAAGAATTAAACATGTTTGCTCTCCAGTAAAAACACAGGTTTGGTTTCAGTAGTTAATCTACCCCATCGTAGCGACCGTCTGCTGATTGATTATCAATAACGCTCCATTTACATTGTATTAATGTTTAAGGATATGCACTAAAAGGCACACAGACACAGATGGAGATCCTTTCTTTATGTTCTGTATTGAGCTGTCTTTAAAGCAGTTTAGTTTTTTTTAGGTTTTGTTTGCCAAAAATATGTTGACAGTCAAAATACCAAACCTGGTTTTAAAGAACCAGTGTGTTAAAGTTAATCATCATTTGCTGTCTTACAGTATTAGTAGCTTAGGATTAATCCAGAAAGCTAAAAGCTAGTACACATACTACATATACTATGCTACGCATTAGTTTATAACACCTGTTTGCTTTTAATTCTTTGCTACCTCAAAGGTCAGTGTTGTCAAGACGTTTACAGCCAAACAGTGCATCAAATTCACAAAGTTTAAAGTTCCACTTATCAAATTCAAGGTCACGGGGGTTAAAAAGCATTTTTAAAAATGCTTTGATTAAAAAGGAAAGCATTTTTAATCAAAGCAAATCCAAAGATACTGTTTATGCTGCACATTCAGCTTTCTGGTCAAAGTTTGTATCATTCACAACACAACTCAAACCCAGCCCATTAAGCGAGCACTCCTAGGAGACCGGAAGATGCTGAGTGAACAAACCTGCTACATGTGTAAACTTGGTGGAGATTTTAAACAACATTGTGAACATTTAATGTGGATTTAAGGGCAAAACCTTAGACTGCAGTGATGTCTTGTGCATTGAAATGATGTATTTTAGTCTGAAATTTCTTCTCATTTTGGTATCTTGAGGCCTGGTATGAAATGCGCCAGAAGATCCACCGTCAACATGCATATTTATATCAGCCTCTTCTGTCACACCCTGAATTCTGAAATCCCGCACAGTTGAGTTCATGTTGTTGTAGCTCAAAACATCAGCAGGACTACAATCACCAAATCGCCCAACGTCACCAATCCAGAAATAGACTCAGACATTACGTTTTTTGCACTTTGTTCCAGCAAAAATGACGTTTGATGTCTCTTGAAATCTAGTTAAGAGCTTAACTGCAGATCACATAAACACGATGGAGTGGTGAAGCCACAGCTCAAAAGTCAGCTGACCAGATAACAGCTTTCGTCATATAGTATTCTTCTGGACTTTGCTAAAATGGAAACATTCCTATTACTGCTTTAATAACATAATCCTGCCTTAAATAAAACATTTAAAAATCAAAAATATTCTAAACAGCAATCTCAGTGATTTCTATCCAAAGTGATACTCACATTAACAGAAAACAAACAGGTTACACCCCGCGTGAGCACACAACCAACATACTCAGACATCCTCTATCTTCCTCCCACCACATCCTGCTCTCACTTTTCCTCCACTCTTCTGTCCTGATTCATCTTTTATCTTTGTTAGAACCACACAGCTGGTCCACAAGCCTTTTATTCCTCTGCATTCAGTCACGAGCCCCGGGGGTGGCATGATATCAGGCGGTTCACCATGAGAGTCACTGGCCCTCAAAGTACTCAGCGCACTGCCAAGAGTTTTATCAGGTCGCTTCGAGTCTCTGTGACGCCTCATCCAGCAAAATCTTAGCCCTAAGAGAGCTACAGAGCAGCCACTGCTCTCCTGCAACAAAGAGGGAGAGCTTTCCTCTTTCCTTTAAAGGATCCAGGGTTTTGTAAGATTTTTCAATATAAAATGTAAGAAAATTGTTTCAAATCAGTCTTACTTTAAATATATTCAATTTAAAATAATAAATCTAATTTTACATGGAAACAAGACGACTTCTCACTGCTCCAAGGACGCAAACAATTAATTTAATTCTTTTAATTATTTAATTATTATTTAATTTATTGCTATTACCTCCTAAATTTACAGTTTCCAAAAACATGATTTCTTTTAGACATTTAAATAATGGCTTTTTCAGGAAAAAAAGTGCATTTTCATGACATGTATGATAAACAATTTCCAGCAGAAGTTGGAAAGTATCGATGTAAAATTTATATCCTGCTTGTTCTCAAAGGTTCCAGGTTCTTTGTAGGTAATTCATAACTAGGTGTTTTATAGGTACGCACGAGTCTGTTCACATATGAAATAAGCTGCTCATTATGCAACTGACAGAATTATATTTCCATTAAAGGCCAACAAACAGGGCTAAAACTCTCTTTGGTAATTATTTTCAATAACAAAGAACTGATTTGCCATCATAAATATTATATATTTCATACAGTATTATCTGGAATCATTCAGACTGTTGATTCCCGTCACAGTATATTTCCATTCAGTCATCGTGGTGCTGCTTGTTATTGTTTTTGTGCACAGAGACTATGCCCTTGCTCTCTGTGTATATCTGAAGATGTTACAACACAAAATAGGCCAGTTGCAGTGCTTACTGTGAAGCCCGTGTGTAGGAATCATTAGAAACCCCCTCTTGAACATAGCAGTGCTTAATGAAAATGCATTGTCTACTTTGCTGTAATATGCCTCGGTATAGATACTAAAGCAACAAATGCTTGGTCGAGCTGTTCTAAGTGTGCTGCCTTTCAGAGACTGTTTCAGTTTGCCAGATGGCAAGGGTCAGCCCTGCTTCAGGAGCATCCGGTCTCTGTCTGTCCAGTGTGCTTTTACAGTATATTATTTCTGTATCATCTCACTAAAAAATGGATGTGAGGAACTTGTAAAGAGGAATCACCGGGGGTTAAAGGCTCGATCTGTATACAGCTGCAGCTGTGTGTGCTCCACTACAGTATTCCACACATAAAGACATAGGCAGTCACACACAGACACACACACTGGAGAATCCGTGCTGGTCTCTACACACACATAGAGCTGAGAGCAACATCTCGGTGAGCACATGATTGAGCGGCTTGGCTCGACTTGTCGCTGCCTCGAGAATGAACACCGCTCACATACGGCTAATCCACTGAACTGACAGTAATGGGAGGCAATACTAAGCATCTTTGGTCAACATCCAAAATGTTTTTCACACACACACACACACACACACACACACAACGTACACACACACACACACACACACTTCCCAGGCTCACACCATCACTTCTGCGCAACCACAAAAACCTCCCATCATCTAATCTCATCTCACAGGAGCAAGCAGAGGGTGTGGCCAGACAGAAACTTATATCATCTCCAACATGGAGGGAAACTACTGATGTTGACAGCTGACACACTCCTGCTCCTGCACACTGTCACACAAAAGGCTCCCCCCTCCTAAATCCCCTTACACCCACTTCCTGAATTCTACACAGCAAAACGGAGGCAGATGTCTGCTATCTCTTCCTGTTTCCACTTCTCTTCCACCTGATCTCTCTATTCTTACTTCCTCATGTCTGTAGAGCATAATGCTGCCCATCCCTCCCTCCCCCACACCCCTCCTCTTCCTCTCTCCTCCATCTCTCTGCATCACCCTGCAGTGCTACAGCGCTCTGCTCTCCCGACATACAGCGTGCCGTCAGCTGGCAGACAGAGGAAGAAAAGGAGAGCTCGCACAGGGTAGCAGAGCATCCTTTCTTCCAGCTGATACCCTACGTTCACTCTGAAAAACAGAAAGGTGTTAAACAGATCAATGTGGACAGAAGCTACCTTCTTACCTTCGCTTCTCTCCGTATCTCCTCCTCTCTCTCCGTTTGTGTCTCCTGACTGCAGCCACACTGTTTGTCTCGCTCTGAATCCTCTCCCTCCTCCTTCTTTCTTCCTGCTCTTCTGGCTGCTGGTCTCACAAACCTGCTACCACTGAGTGAGCGCCTCTCCCTCTCTGCCTCGCGCCCTCTCTCAGCCCTCCCCTCCCCATCCTCCTCCCTTTACATTTCTGATGCTCTTTCTGCTAACAACATCAGTAAAGAATGCCAGAGTGGGGTTAAGATTTTACATTTTTCATACTCAATGCCCCTGAGTCTGCTATCTAATCTTCTTTTTTCAGGGGGTTGTTAGAATAGACCAGCCTTTGTAATATGAGTTGCATTATTTAAGAAAAGAAAAAAATAGATAAAAAACACAAGTATGTGATAATGAATGAAAATATTCTGTTGAAAATGCCATTAAAGCTGTACTTAATTAGCAATGGGTGAAATACTGTGCAATATCTTCAAGGTTACGTATTGAGAAATATCACCAAATTCTATTGTTTTTCATCTTGTGTTTCAACACATTGTAACTAACAACAGGTAAAAGGGAACAATTTGGTGGAGACCAAAAGCAGAGCCAAAACTACAGCAGCCAAAATTGTATCTACAGGCAGAGCAGTCTGATTACACACTTTCAAAGTCTTTCAACTAGGGTTGGTTATAGCCTTGTTGATTTAACATCTCAAGATAGATTTTAAAAAATATCTATATTTTTAGCTGTGTGACTCATTTGTCAAGAAAGTAATAGCAGTAGAACAAAATGGCACAAACACAATGCTGCCAAAGAATCCACATGTTGTTTTATTCAATATAATATTTTCTCCTTTTATTTTGACTCAATTTCACTGTCACATGTTGTGGTTACTTACTGGATCTGATTGGCTGCCACTAACAGGGAGTTCCCCTCCCCCTCCTCTCAGAGCCAGGCAGGATGAAGCTGAGCCCACATCCAGTTAGGGAGCGGCTGCTCGCTTTGTCTGCATGCATGCTGTTCCGAGTGGACACACACACACACACACACACA